TCTCTCTCTCTCTCTCTCTCTCTCTCTCTCTCTCTCTCTCTCTCTCTCTCTCTCTCTCTCTCTCTCTCTCTCTCTCTCTCTCTCTCTCCCCTAAGCAGTTATTGAATCCCCACCCAGCCTCCTGCTAGCCTCCTCCATCGGGCTACTCCGATGCTTTCAACAGTCCTGGGCTGAGCGATCGACTTCTCCTCGAAATTTCGGCGAGTGGGCGTGAGGTCGGGATGGACTAATGCTTGGGCGTGCCCTCCTCAGGCGCGTTCGTCTTTGTCCATCTTGCATTGCATTCACAAAATAGTGCGTCCATTCTACAGTGCTGTGTGGCTAAAGGGGGGCAAACTGTCGAAGGGAGGCTGTCGAATTTCTTAGCCTTTCGGCAGCGGTGTGACGAGCCCCTCTCTCTCTCCTTTCTCTCTTTGATGGGTGATCACCAAGCCCTCTCTCTCTCTCTCTCTCTCTCTCTCTCTCTCTCTGTGTCTCTCTGTCTCTCTCTCTCTCTCACCACTTGTGCACGACTTTCTGATTGTCTAACGTCAAATATTCTTTGGCAAGATCTTTGCCCTCTCTCGTTTTTTTTTCCGTTTTCCCTTCTCCTTTCTTTTCTGCTCTTTTCATATAGTCTAGCTTTTCTGTATTTTAGACAAGATTAAGACTCGATTCGTTCTATGGTTATTCTTCCCTGTCGGCGGCGGCCATTGGAGCAACTTTCTCACGCGTGTCTCTCTCCGCGCTCTTCCACCAGCCTGTCCGGCATGTCGGGGGTTGGGATCCCAGTCGTCTCTTGTTGCTCATCATCTCGTCTAAGAACTTGTTGACACGTGTCTGTCTTCATCAAAAGCCCTATCGAAAAGATGAAGGCAGACATTCTCCCGCGTCCCTCCTCGGCCGTTCGATCTTCCGCTTCCCGCCTCGGCGGGCATTTCCAACTGTTTTCCTCCTCATCTATTCGAACGGCGCAAACGGGGATCACGGTCGCGTTCTGCGCCTCTCTCCTCCTCCTCACCCATCTTTCGAGTTGGAGTCTGCTCTCACCCTCACGCTCGCTGACGGATACCGATCCCGACCCCGACCCCGATTCTGTAATCGGTGATCACAAGTTTCCCCTCGGCATTCCCGTGGCGGGTCGTCTCTCTCACGACGAAGGCCATCTCGCTCACCATGATTGGGCTGAGACACGTGGCGGGCATCGGGGCGATGACAGCGAAGCACAACGACGTGGTAGTCATGATCAGCAGCTGCAGCGG